AAAAAAAAAAAAAAAAAAAAAAAAAAAAAAAAAAAAAAAAAAAAAAAAAAAAAAAAAAAAAAAAAAAAATGTACATAAATCTTAATCCAAAATTAAACCATTACTACCCAACTGTAATAGCACCATCTGTTGAGGAATAAGAGAAGTATTTTTTGCCATTAGTCGATATTTCATCGCATATATCTTTTTTCATTTCTTCAACAAACACGGAGAAATTATGCAGGTAAATAAGGAGATAACGGTAAAATACAGGAGACCCCGTGAAAAAATAGGAGAATTGGCAGGCACGCATAACATGTTGGTGTAATAAAATAACCTTGCATTCAGCCCTGTTTATATTTAAATGATTTAGACACTAAATTTTTTTAAGACTAAGGGCCAATGTCTGACATACTTTGCACTGTGATCGAGTATACAATTGTATACGAGCTAATTTCGAACTTAATAGGTTGCAATACTTTATTCTGTTTCCAGCAGGAGCGAAAGCAATGCCAATAAATAAATAAAAAGCTCTTTTATTAACTGCAACATGTCTTTAAATTTTACAAAGCATTATAAAAAAATTCTGCAGAATAATAAGAAAATATTTACATTTTAATTATTTTTAAAGTTTTTACAAACTTATGAAACTGAAATTTATTGTAATTCTGTTTCTGTGTTAATACAGCAGCAAAATTTAAACTAAGTTTGTAACAATTAATTCTGATGTCAAAAACTTATTTTTGATAAGACCTGGCAAAAACGGTCGAAATCTGACATGATAAAACCCCGAGGTTATTCTGCTATTTTCAGACATTATATATTTGCAGGTTATTTAACATATTAGAACCATGCAGAATTAAGGATGTCAGTCAGATCAATATCCAGTAGGTAGGTATTTATAAATATTTACCATCGCCTTGGAAAAATACTCAAAATCAGGGGTTTTATCATTTTTTGTTCAATTTACAGCATGTAGCAATAATTTTTCTTGCTCTTAGTTCTGAAATTTTATAATATCTTTCAAAAATAAACATTAAAACTACAGGTACATTGTCGCAGAAAGGTTTGCATTGTTTGAATCTTATTAATTGGATTAACAAAACAAAATATACTTTTTTACATTTCCCTAAAACATCAGGTGTAATGAAACTTAATAATCATAACTTATTTATGATATTTTATGAAAAATATACATAAATCTTTGTTTAGAGTTAATCAATAAATTAAACATCCCGTAAGAAACGATAAATCCAGATTTTTGAATATAATTTTACATTTTCAAATATTGTCTAAATTTTCACAAAATGGGTACCTCCCAGAAATACCTAGACAGACCCCTGAAAACACAAAAATTTATAGCAGATTTAAATTTACACGTTAAATATTATTCAAACATCACATTACACCTAAATATAGAACCAAAAAGTAATACATATTGTTCATATGCTACTAAAGTTTTACATGATTATATTTCTGAAATAAAGTACTTAAAAACCAAAAAAAAAATTTGCATTTTAAAGATATATTTTTAGCCAAACTTTCCTTGCTTTTGAAAGTAGAAATACTGGGAATTCTGAGTTTCTTAACATTGAAAATGGTACCTAAATTAAAACAATTCTTATATTATAAATGCTAAATTGAAAAAATTTTGCTTATGCGTAAATAACTAATTAACCATTGACAATGTAAGCAAAACTTGATTATACCTAAAATATAAATAATTTTGTAAAACCCAAAAGAATAACACAATCATTGAAGTATTAAATACCCTAGTATTTATGTATTTTTTTTACTATTTTCCCAAAAAGAAAAACCTGGGTACTTAACTTCTATAAGCATAATACTTATTTTATATGCTACTATAATTACAATTTTTATTTTTATTATATACCATTTATAGGAATTATAGCATTAAATGCAAACTCAGGCTTTTTAGCTTAAGTGATCACTGAATGTTTGATCTCAAATTATTGTTCAACAAGGTTCTTTAATCATAATAATTAAATAAAACTAATTACAGAAAATGCTTTCTGATATTAGCTGTTAGGATATTATGCATAAATATGTCTTTCAAACAAAACAATCTTCCAAAAAAACTTATTTGAAAATTTTTTAATGAATAAACTCAGGTTAATTTTCATTTTTAAAAGCACAATACACGATTCTTGGGAATATTTCTGTATCGTGACCTGTCATGCAAACTAATACCAGGGTATCAGCTACATTTAAGATTTTCAAATTCATGACTAATTCCAAGAACTTTTCATGACTTAACGAAGTTACTATTTTCTCCAACAAAAACACAACAATTTAAAAAAGCTTAATAACATGAATTGAAATGATAGGTATAACCAAAACTGTTATACTCTGCATCACTATATTTATTGATTTTCAAAATTGAAAAACAGTAGAGAAAGAGTTGAAGTAATAAAATAACTGAGCAAATAATTTTTTAAATTATTTTTCAGCAGAATCATATTCTAAAGTTCCGAATTAATTGTTCTCGTTTCAGAATTTTAAAAAAAAATTGGCAATGACTGGCTTGCTTCAGCTAGAATTTTAAATTGATAAAATAAAAAAAATAATTAATAACAAAAATTCTGAAATCACAGAAGTTTAAAAGATAAATAGCTCCAGAAATTTTTTTTCTTTCATTTTTAGAAAGAACAGGATAAAGAACATGTAAAAATATTTTATATTTTAATAAAAGTTTCTGACCCTCTTCGAGAGGGGATTTTATAACATTCAGATATTTGGACTGGGAGACTGGGGGGAATGGAATTTTTCAGAGACCTAAATTCACGACTTTCCTGATTGTTTTTAAAAATAATAAATATCATGACATTTCAGGACAAATTATGTTCATGACTTTCCAGGTGCACAGATACCCTGTATTACCAAATTGATTTTAAACAAGAAAAAAAACCTATTTTTAAAAATGTGTAGAGGTTGGCCGAGGAAGATACAAGTTACATAACCCTTCGAGTTGGTATATTCTCTTTTTTTTTAATCCTGGAAGTTGCCAAGACTTAGCCATTATTCTGCCACAGATCATGATACAGGAATCTTGCCTGACCCACCTTATAATAATCTATTGGGTACAACATACATACTCTTTCAACTACCCACTGGCTCATTAACATTACCTTTTCAGCTTGCATAAAAACAAAAAACTTACATATCTTGTTGATATTTATTAAATAGCTAGCTTAATACGAACATAAAATTCGATGTTTAAATTAAACAATTAGACATTTTATTTCAACAGCGTTAACAAATTGAATACAAAGATTGGAAAAAAATTTTCAATAATGCAATACTTACTTGAATTTGCATTGGCAATTTCACTCATTTCATTAGGATCTAACCACACTTTCCTTTTTCCACATTTTAAAACAGCTGCGGCTAGCCGCTTCTGCAACCTTAAGCAACTGTAACAAGAGTTCCCTCATTAATAACAATATTTGCAAAAATTAAAAACATTACTATCTGTACTAATAGAAAAACGGTAATCAACATATATTTATATTATGAAGTAACTCAATCGATAAATTATACAGAACTTAACCCTCCGGAACAAGTATTATAAACTAATGTATATACAAATCTTTACTTTTTTAAAAATTTTATTTCTAGTAGTTTTATACTTTAATAGAGTGCAGAATAAAATCAAAACGGATTAATTCTCTACTATCAACAATTTTACATGGTGACGCCACGTGTATATTGTTAGGGCTATTTGTTATGAAGACTGAAATAAAACACTAAATAATACAATTTCATAAATAAACTTAATACTTTTCATTTTTTAGGTTATTTTACGAAATAATTTCAGCAATTGAATTTTATTTCAATATAAAAATTATTATAAGGGTTCTTACCTCATCTCTTCTTCCTTAGACCGTCTTTTGTGGACTAAAGGTTCACTTGTGTTAAGGTTGCCATTTAATAAAATATAAACTTCATGAGGTATAGGCTCTACTGTTAGCTAAGCAAAATTTTTTATTTTTGTAGGAAAAGTATCACACTGCTTTTAAAATAAATAGATTAATCTATCAAATATTATTTTAAAGCGAAGTATTTAACAGAAATAAAGGATGATTTTTACATAAAATTATCTTCTTTTAGTTATAGTTATGAAACCTAGATGGCGTTTATCAAAAACAAATCTGAAGAAATTTTGAAGGACGAAAGGGACATGAATGATCTTGGATGCAGGAGAAAAGGTGACATGACAAGGCTGCTGACAGGTTAGCTAGTTTTTGTTTCATCATTCGCCGGTGTTGAATTAATTAAACAAAATTAATTAAGGATCCATTGGTTTTTAGCATTAAGAGACTGTCATAAGCTTTTGTTAATTAACTCAGTTTCTCTCCTAATCAAGATTTATTCATCATTTATTATTTGATTTACTGGCGGTAAATTTTAAATTATTGTTTACCTCGAGCAAATCATATCATGTTTCATAGAGAATTCAAATATTTAGTGATGTAATTCATTGTTATAAAATTTATTGGTTCGCTTTTGTGTGTCATACGGAAGTTATTGTATTTAGTAATCCCTGCAAAGATAGAACTGGAAAATAATGTATCTTTAGCTTTAACAAAGATTATCACCATATATAGTTTTTCTTCCTTCTCAGAAAGTGTATAAAAGTATATTTTAATCTTCATGCATTAGCAATTATTGGATATGTATTTATTAGTTTTAAATTGTTTTACCACTTATTTAGTTATGTGATGCTCTTTTCTATTTCTTTCTCTTTTTATTTTTTTTTAAATCATTAAAAAGCAAAATGACAACTAACACTTAACTGAAAGAGCTTTTAAATTAAAACGAAATATTTTATAATGTGAGTTTTCTTTTTTTATGTTTTTTTCTTTCTTTTGAAACTTAAGTGTCTGTAGCCTTTTAGTTACTATTTTACTCACGATCTTTAAATATTATTAGTAACAGGTTTAAATTCTTGTATAACATAAAATAAAATTAAGTTTGAGGTCAGTGGTTAATTACTATGTGAATGATTTAATTCAGTGAATTAATTAAAAAATTAGGTTTTTTTATAGCATATAAATAAATGAAAATTTTAAAAGTAAATAGCAATTTTAAAGTACAATGCAAGCAAATGGGTGAAACATATAAACATTAATACTTATCTTAGTTATTATGTAGTAAAGTATAATTATTTATTATATTGTAAAGTATTAAAAATAGTGATCAATTTATAATGCAATTAATAATTTTTACTAATAAATATTATTTTATAATTTTAATAAACAAGCATAATTTTACTAAACAATCACCTATTGTTAAAAATAACATTTGTTTACTCCCTGCTATAAAACTGCACACATGTTGCTCTAAATTATCCCATTAACCATTTATAAAAGGTCACAATTTGTTAATTTAGTATACAATTCTTAAATGCATCTGATAAATGAATCAATGCTTTTATAATTTGATAGTTATTATGTTATTTGTTTAATGGATAATTATGTTTAGTTATTAGTATGTCACTGTAAATTAAACCAATAATGTTACCTAAGTAATAGAATGATAAAAAAAATTTCATAAAATTCTAATGTTGCATTGCTTGTCATTGCTAATTTTGCATAAATTGTCTTAAAGTTCTAATCTTGCATTAGGAATCCAAAAAATGCTCTAAATATTTAAAATTAATCGATTATATTTAAAATAATCTTTAAAAAAAAGTGGGGGGGGGGGTAGCTGATTGTGAAATGAAACAGTTATTTAAGCTATAAAGATATTATATCATTCAAGATGGTTTGCTGCCTTACCAACAAACAAAAGAAGTATAGTTAGATGCATTCCAGCTTAATATTTAGCCTTTTTCATTTTCAATTAAATGCAGGATAATCATTTAAAAAAATTATTAGAATTTGGACACTGGCTGTTATTTTTTTCTTCTTTGTAATACCTATAAATTTTTTCTGGCAAAAATTAATGGTCATAGGTTTTCTCCTTTTAAATTTTATTGCATCAAATCTTATGACTTATAAAAAATATTTAAATGTTTTTTTTTTAATTTTTTTTAAAACTTTATTTAACCTATGTAGCATTTAATCTAAAAATTTTGCTAACTAACCCTATTGCTCTCCTACAAAACAAGACTTTTTCTTATCTTTTATTTCTTGACAAATTTTTAAATGAATAACAAAAATAATTATTAGATTGAATATAAAATTTTTAAAATAATTTTTATATTATACTGGTAAAAGCTTATTATTGTATTGCTATGATTATTTGCATTAACTAAATAAAATAATCACAATAAAATATTAAATGAGCATCCATAAAAACAAATTATTAAAATCTGTATTCTGTTTTTTTTTTTTTTAATTATACAGTTTTGCAATTTAAATTAAGACATATTATCATTTTCCAAACTCTATTAATTGTTCTTTATTAAAATCATTTCCATTTCTGTTATGAAATTTTTAATGTATTGTATCTTTAAATTACTTACAAACAGGTCAACAAAACTTTTTAAGTGTCTTATTTTTCCAAAGAATTGTAGATCCTTAAAATTAATAAGAAAATTTTTTCCAAAAACTGCCATCATTAATAAAGGAACATTGTTGCAAAGTGTTTTTGATCCCCCTACAAACCTAGGAGGTTTATTCAAAAAATCAAAATTTTTATTTAAATTCTAATTCAAACTAAATTATGAATTTAAAAGAAAGAAAACTACTGAATCCCAATAAATCACTTGGCCCAAATTGTTTTCTTTTTCTTTAGCGTTTATTAATCATAATAAAAATATGCTCTTTATTTCAATAAATTGCTATTTTGTATTTGACATTAAATAACGTTACCTATAAAACTTAGCTTAGCTCATTATGCACTAGTCAATCAAAATAATTCAGAACACAATTATAATTCCCAAAAATGAATTAGGAAGTGTTTAAAATTGATCTTTATTGTTTATTTTCAAATAAAGAAAAAAATCTGCGAATTATGTTTGTGTTTCGATTCATGACAAAAGAGACAAGGTACCTCACATCTTACCTGTTTACAGGTTTTGAACTAAAGAAGGTGTTTTAAATCCTTTCAAAAGAATTGAAATGTTCAAGGACAATTCAAATACTTTTTCTGATAGCTTCAATAAAATAATTTTTAGATAGTTAAATAAATAAATCTCAGTAAAGCCAAGTTAAAACTTGTAACAAGAAAGTTTTATAAAAGAATGCTGTCATGAAGCCAGCAATTTTTGTTAAAAATTCCTCTGGTCTTTTTAGAAATTTTTTTTTTTTATATGAGGCCTTGCAATAAATGATAATGCAATGATGTTCATTATAGTATTTTATTGCATGAATTTTTTTTTTACGAAAATTTCTATAACTTGTTAAGTTTGTTTGTTGTAAGTCTTGTTCATTGGAGCCCTTAATCTTCTTCACAAACTCTTTCTAAACAAATTTTAAGCAATTCTGCACTAAACCTTTTTATTATTCAAGTTTATCGGATTCTTTACCTCTAAAACTATTTTTTATATTGTTCATTTAAAACTAATTCATAATTTGTTTTAGTTTTATTTAAGAATAATGTAAGAGGTGCCTATCAAAATTTGAAATGAAAAATCTGAAATAAATAAATTTAAAATTTAAAAAACTCTTTTCTAGACATATTTTTTATATTTGTTTAACAAATTATGTTTTTTCTAGGTTATCTTAAATAACTGAAATCTGTGAAGCTATTGAAAACTCGCTCAGAAACAATTGGTAATGACTTCAATAAATTGCCTTTTGTGTTGTCGTGTGTGAAGTGATCTTAATAATTGCATGAGAATTTCCTATGTAACCTTGCATGCCTTTCAAAATCTAATTGTATTATGGAGGAAGAGTAAGTGCCAAATGATTCATATCGTTCAATTTATTTTCTATTACCTTCATATTCTATCGCTTATTATAATTTCAACCCCCCTCCCCCTATCTTGAAAAACCTTACATTGTTAATCCTTTTTCTTTGTATTCTTAATCTTTATTCATATCTATTTGTTCTGAATTAAGTATTAATTTCATGTTACACATATATTAAAGGTATGTTTTTCTTTCTTGTGCTTAATATTTCTTTTTTTTTTCAAGTATCATTAATATTTAAATTATATTCTTAAAAAAGTTGTTTTTTGATTTTTCTTCTGTTTTTTATTTTATTTATTAAGGTGTTAGTTTGATTTCTTAAGGGCCTTTCGACATTAAACCTTGAAAACTGTTGATAATTTTAAGTTTGTAACTATTGGAGAAAACATTAAATTTTTTTCTGAAAGAAGACTTATTGTATTTTTTCTCTGTGAACTTTACACTGAAGCCACATAAACATTGTATACCTTTGACATCTGATATAGCAAAGCTTTTTAGGGAAAAGTTCGTATGATTCTGATTCTAATTTTTCTTTTGTGCTTTATTAAATATGGTACTAAATGTATTGTGCTATACCTGAATTTTTTTTCCCATCTTGGTTGGTATTATTACTTTTTTTCATTCTTGCACAATTTTTTTGGCAGAAGAATCTTTATTTTAAATGAAGATATCAAGTGTAACTTAGAATTTTTTTTAAGTTTTTTTGCAAGAAACAATCTAAAGGTTTATGAATAATAAGTGTGTTTTTACATTGTTAGAAAATAATCCTTCATTTTCACTTGTTGTGATTTTTTTTTTTTAAAATCTGACCTCCACAGTATATTGTATTAAAACGTTCATTAAGTATTGTTGTTTTTCCCCCTTTTATTTCATTAGGTGACATATTAAATATGCAAATACATTTGAATTTTCTGTTTCCTCACAAATTCAAAAATATAATATCTTAATTTGATAACGTACACAGTCTTAACTATAACCAGAGTTCATTGATTTATGTCACCAACTATATCAAGATTTAACTCAACTGATTTTTTTTAAATGAAAAAAATATTTGATTTAAGTTAAATGATTTTTTTTATAAATAGAAATTATCAATGTAAAAATTTACAAAGCATTTTAATATGAGATTAAGTTTTTTTTCATTGATTTTTGCCTTTTTAAATTTCATTGTAAATATTATTAATATTATATAAATATCATAATTGAAAAGGTTTTTTCTCTTTAAAAAAATGATTTGTTTATTTTAACAAGTTATTAATTATACATGTCTATACCATTTTCAATAATTTTGAATCTCGAACTATTTTTAATGCAGTGATTAGTTTTAAATGTGTTTTTATAAATATTTTAATAATCTATCACTTATAAATGAATTTTAACTACCAATTGTAAAATAAAATTTCTCAAAGTGTTTTTAAAATATGAAGAAAAAAAATCTGGTTTATCATGAACCTTGCTTTTTATCTACGTTAAAACCTTAATATTGAATGTAATTATTAATATTGAAGTAGAAAGTTTACAATAAGTACATATTAAAATTCTGCCTCCTTTTTTTCTCTCTCTCTCTCAAACACAAAGATAAGTTTTGGGCATTTTTAAAGGCTGTGGGGTGCAAAATATTGTAAATTAAAGCACTATGCTTGTATGAATAATTTTTCAGCAATTCATTAAAGTGTATTTCCTAATATTGTATTGAAATAAAACTTTTTTTTTATTTGTAAATTTTACCTTAAGTTCTAGATCTTTAATGATATTTGTAAAAAGATAAATATCATAAAATCTTTCTAGTATAGGTTAAGAAGAGAGAAATACGAGTAAAAAGTGTGTTTAGATATGTTTTAAATCAAATATGTATAAGACTAAAACTAATATTTTCTCTTAAATTACACATGAAATATACTGAGTTTGAATTATGCTTACTATGAGCTTCATTAAACCATGAAGCTCATAGTAAGCAATATTTTTTATTATTCATATTGCACATTTAACTGTGGTAAAGAAAAGCACATTGTATGTGTAAAGTATAATTCATGCTTGTATATATTTTCTAGAAATTATTTTAATTATTTATATTTATCTTATATATTTATATTTTATTTTTATTATTTTAATGTGAATTTCAAGAGCTTAAAAAATTATGAATATCATAATTTCTAACATCTTTAAGACCGAAAGAGTCACTTATGTAATTAATATTGGAAATATTAACTTCTTGATGACAAACTCTAGGTAAATATATTAATGTGTTTATCATGAACATATACTTTCTTGAAAAAGGTATACTTTTTTTTTAATATAATTGCTATAAAAATATTTGTAATTCATAATTTTAATAATAATTACCAGGTTTTACAACTTCTTGATGTAAAAGTGTAAATTGTAACATGTTATCATTGCGCATCAATGTCTAAAATAACTTTCCAACATTGATGTGCATGATAACATATGTAATTAGATTAGCTTGTTATGTTCTTTACTTTGTACTTACCTCAATTGTTGGTAATTTTGCCTCATTTTTATGTTATTTATGACTAAAATATTAAAGCTGTTGTACAATTTTGCCTAAATACTCTTTAACATATCAGAGAGACTCTTTGTAAATTTAACTATTAATTCTGTGTGCATTTAACTGAAAGAGAAAAAGTAGAAATTTGAGACTTATAATGGAAAATCTTAAAGTTCCATTATGTTTTGTATGTTAAGAAAATAACATACAAAAGAAAAAAATTACAACAGTTTTTTTATTTAAAAAAAAGTAGTTTCTTTTCCTCACAAAAATGTATCTTATTAATAGCATCTTCAATGATCATTTAACTTATATTAGCATTACTGCTTCTAAAAGTTAGATAGTTTTGAAACATCTTGTATTTCTTCTGTTTTTCTCAGTGCTATTTCAAGTTGCATTTGTGTTTGAGTAATTATTTATAAATTTTTTCTTTCAGATTAAGGAGAGATAGTATCTACATAATAGATCCTATGGCTGATCTTCCAAGTAAGGAGGCCAAATCTGTGGGCCAAGGCTCACAGAAAGGGCGTGTTATAGGGGTTTTTACCAGTGGAGGAGATTCTCAGGGTTTGTTTTTAGCCATATTTTTCTTTAAAAATTAATGTAGCTCTTTTTAAAAAGAAATAAAGTGTATTACAGTATAACCTGAAAAATCCGATCTGCTCAATTACTAAGATTTTGATTCAGAAAATTTCTGGATTTTAGATGCCATACCATTGGAGATGTCAAAGTTATGAGTCCAAAATAATACAAAAAAATTAGTTTTTTTTTTTCACTTAACTTTTAGTTTGTTTCTCCGAAATAATAAATCTGGTAACAAATATTTGTTAATAAAAAATACTGTAAATAATTGTATGTAAATAATTGTACTGTAAAAAATGTATATTTGTAAATAAAAAACACAATTATTTTGTTGTGAACCAAATGGCTTCAAAATACCTCGTAAACACTAACCTGGAAGTATAGGCAGTAAAGAGCTTACAGTACACCCTAGTGTAGAAAACACTATCTCTACTTCTTTCCTTTTCTTAATAATAGTCATGTATATTCTTTAGAGATAATTTTCACGAAATATTTTATAATTAATTTGTTTTTGTTGTATGATATTACAATTAATTTATTTTTTAAACTTCTAGTAGCAATTTTTTAAATGTGAAAATAAATTTATTTATTGAATGAATTGCAGTGTATAATGATCATTCATGTATCCATTAGGTATGAATGCTGCTGTGCGTGCTGTAGTTAGAATGGGCTTGTATCTTGGTTGTAGAGTATATTTCATTAAAGAGGGCTATCAAGGAATGGTTGATGGTCAAGATTACATTGTTGAAGCTACATGGGCTAGTGTATCTAGTATTATTCATAAGGTGTATAATTTGCTCATAAGCTCTCTGTATAGACTATACTTTGCTTTTAAAAGTGTCTTAACTGTTATTTGGTTTTGTACATTATTTTATACTTTATTTCTGAAAAATAATGTAATATGCAGAAACAGCTAAAAATTTGATACTTCAATAGTTAAAAAGTATTCATGTCAAAATGTTGTGAAAATTTTATAACCTTTTTTTCAAATAATTTTTTTTAATCCTCTTAAATATAAAATTAAGAAAAAATAAAAAATTTCCTGAAAAGCAAGTAAAATTTATTTACTTATAACTTATTGCCTAAAACATAACTAGTATACTCACATTTATAAGTGAGTGTTTATTTATTTTTTTTTTTTAATTTACTTTAATCCTCAAAAAGAAAAATTTTGTTAAACATACTTATATTTGATCTTAAAAGTTATCATTTCCGAAAAATTCGAAAAACAATATTATTTTACCAGTCAAACAATTATTTGCCTTATTAACATTTTTATGTATTTTTGTTAAAAAAAACTGATAAACTGAATTATTGTTTGTTATTATTATCTTCTTAGCAGAAATCTTCAAAAGTTCCAATTTACTTAATGCTTGCACGAATTTTTAACAGTTCGCATATTTGGAGAGGAAAGCAGAGCAGCAGATTTTTGTTTTTATAAAATTATATTAAAGGAATTTCATTTTTTCTAAAATAAATATCTAAAAATAAATACAGTGATCAAATGTATGACTTAAAATTTTAATGTAGAACTAATCATATTAGGTAGCTAAAATGACATTGCATGCCTGTATCATTTTCTAATTTGTCTTTTTTTTTAAAGTTCTATTTCGATAAATCTTTTTTTTTCTTAGAAGTACTGAAATTAACTAAAATATTGATTGCTAATTTCATAATTTATTCTAGGCACAGTAATGACTGGGCCATAGGCATTGCAGGAGCCTAATTTTTGAGGGGACAAAATTAAATTAAACTGACACAATGTTTTCTAAATTTCACCCATAAGAAGAAAAAAATTCTTAAATGTGCCAAATGCATGAAAAAATAATAATTTAATTGTTTTAACTGTGTAATAGAAATTTAAATTGATGATAATTCACAATGATTTTTTCTTTGTTTGATATATTGAGAGAGACTTTGAGAAATTTCTAAATATTGAGAGGGACATATATCCACTACCAATGAAGCCTATGAACTGGGCACTTGAATTGGTAGACCCCTGCCCTTAAATTAATTAATCAATTAACAAAATGTTACAAATGTATACAAAATTATGGTAAGAAAATTCGAAACTGTCAAAAATTAAAATTTTTTTAAGGTTATATGTTATAATATTAACGCTATAGGACAATGTGTTGAAAACTGTGCTAATTAAGTAATTTTCAATTTTATTTTTTAAAACATTTATACTAAAGTTAGCTTTGTTTAACAATGTTTCAGTTTTTATGTTTAAATTGTACTTAAACATAGATTTTGTGATAACAAAAAAAGAAGAAGAAAGATTCTTTTAATTATTTATTAATTAATCTTCTTTCTACTTGAGTGATACTTAAGTAAACATAAGTCTAAGAATTTTTTAGTTATTGAGTATTTTTAATGTTTTGCTTTACATACATAATGCAGCGTTTCTCGAAGCTTGGTACGAGTACCCCTAGGGGTATGGGAACAGTTTAGGGGGGTACGCATTCCTATGCGAAATATCTTGCAATAAACGAAAGTTTCAAAAAATTTTATTTAAAGACAAAGCTAACCATGAAAATTTACGATTACATATTTTTCTATTGGCTATTTTTTGCAGAGTTGTGATTTTTAACTTTTGTGCAATTTTCTTATAATAAAAAATATACATTCATTTTTTTATTAGTGGTACACAGCATTACGAAAAATTTAGAAAGAGTGCACAAGAATCATAAGTTTAGGAAACACTGACCTAATGTGTAGAGATATTTCATTTTTTTCATCTAAAGCAACAAAATTTAGGCCAAATATAATAAACATTTAATACCAGTGTACAAAATATTTATTGTGAAAATGCTACTTTGTTATCTATAAGTATTGTGTACCTACTCTCTCTTACATTTTTTCAACACACATTTAAGTTTAAGCTCCTCTTAAACACATTATCATAATTTTTTTTTTTTCACCTTTACTTCTCAATTTCTAAAAGCAATAATTCATAAGATTAAGAAAAATTATTCGATTTCTTTATTTCATGCTTGTTTGATGTGTTGTGGTCATTGCATCATAAATAAATGAAATTTTTATAATATTTAATAAACATTAATTTAACTTAAAAGGATTAAGTTTATTATCAATCTTAAAATTTGGTTGCAAAAAATTGTTAGTACAAAGTTTTATTTATTTAAAAGAGAAAAAAAAATATTCAAAATGTCTTATATGCATTTAAATATTGACTGTTTCTTATTTAAAGTCCAATTTCATTTAATTATGTAGGGTGGTACTGTGATAGGAAGTGCAAGGTGCCAAGACTTCAGAGAAAGGCCTGGACGCTTGACCGCAGCATTGAATCTCATTCAAAATGGAATTACAAATCTTGTAGTGATTGGAGGTGATGGTAGCTTAACTGGTGCAAATTTGTTTAGGCAAGAATGGTCTTCTCTTTTAGATGAACTGTTATCACAAGGTATTATTTAAAAGAGAAAAATGTCTTTCTAACTATCTTAACTATAACATTTACGCATCATAAATATAATTCTGTGTTTTCTTTTCATTTACTTCAGAAGTTTTTTTTTCAGGATTTAAATGTAGGAAATAATTTTTATGCTTCAAAATTTGCTCTGCTAGACCTTTTTTTTTTTTTTTTTTTTTTAAAACGAAAAACGGGATGAAGAAAAAAATACAAATTGCGCTTTCAATTAAAAAAGTTAGGAAATGTTATAAACATTTGTAACAAGTAATAACATCTTAAAAATTGTTTTTTTATCAAACACTAAAAAATTCAAACCTATCACATAAATGCATTTTTAGCACGTGACCAGTTGAGCACCAGTGACTGATACGATCAAACTATTATTGAAGTGTTACTACTTTTGACCAAATGAAATAGTTTTTTCCAAAAAACAAATTTGTTATAGCTACTGAATGAGTTAACATAAATTGCACTATAAAATAGAAGTATGTGGTAATGAAATATTTAATTTTTAAATATAATTTGTGCAATGGGACTGATTGATAAAAAAAATCTATTTTTACAGGTAAGAAAACTTGAATTGAGGGGATAAGACTGAAGATAACAGCTTCTAAGAAAAATAAGATGAATTAATTTTAACCAACAAAATACAGTCTTGCGAATATTTAAATACTCAAATGGAAAAATAATTCAGAAGATCTTTTTTAGAATAAGGAAGTAAAAAATATGTTTTCAATTAAAAAAAATATTATGCTTAGTAAAAATTTGTAGCAAATACTAAAATTTCTAAAATTGTATTTTTAACTATCAAAAGAAAATTTGAGCTTATCACTTCAATTCATTTTAGCATCTGACCCACTGTTCTTTAAAGAGTGAACCTTTTCTCATCCAAAAGTTAAGCATTCGGAAGTATAATTAACAAACTGTTAAAAACAAATGTATATTTTACATCCACTTTAGATTAAATTTTCAACAAAAAGTACACTATAAAAATGAATTGAAAATGGTAATAAAAAATCCAAGTGGTTTTTAACTATGAAACACCATCACGTGACTGAATTCAAGTAGAGTTCATAAATAAAACGATTTTTATAGGGGTAAAAGAATTCGGAAAATTGATGAGAAAAGAGAAACTCAAAGATAGCAGCCTTTTTCCAAAAATGTGTTTCATTAATGGGAGTAACATTTTATTTTATAACCGTTGTTCAACAGCTGACCCAATGTTCAACTTGTAATTTTGAATCCACTCCAGAAGACAAGGGAGCTTCTGAATCAAGTATTGGGAGAAATTTGCTTTCATTGAGGAATTTTTTTTTTATGGAACTTACCCGCATTTGAGTTACATGAGGAGGAAGACCACGAAAATCTCCCACGGTTAGCCTGATGGCAAGGGGACTTTGACCCATGATCCGTCTACCACGGAGGATATTTTCCGTCAGCACTGCGATCGGTGCGAGCCGGGTGCGGAGTTCGTATCGACCAGCCATCATAGAGATTCGAACCCAAGTCTTCTGATTGGAAGGCGAAAGCTCTATCCCCTGAGCCACCACGGCTCGATGAGTGCAATAGTATTNTACGTGCTGTAGTTAGAATGGGCTTGTATCTTGGTTGTAGAGTATACTTCATTAAAGAGGGCTATCAAGGAATGGTTGATGGTCAAGATTACATTGTTGAAGCTACATGGGCTAGTGTATCTAGTATTATTCATAAGGTGTATATTTTGCTCATAAGCTCTCTATATAGTAATACTTTGCTTTTAAAAGTGTCTTAACTGTTATTTGGTTTTGAACATTATTTTATATTTTATTTCTGGAAAATAATGTAATATGCAGAAACAGCTAAAAATTTGATACTTTAACAGTTAAAAATAATTTATGTCAAAATGTTGTGAAAATTTTCTAACCTTTTTTTCTAATAATTTTTTTAAGCCCCTTGAATATAAAATCTAGAAAAAATTAAAAATTTCCTGAAAAGCAAATGAAATTTGTTTACTTATAACTTATTGCCTAAAACATAACTAGTATACTCACATTTATAAGTCAGTGTTTAATTTTTTTTAAAAGAATTTATTTTAATCCTCCAAAAAGAAAAATTTTGTTAAACATACTTATATTTAATCTTAAAAGTTATCGTTTCCAAAAAATTAAAAAAAGAACAATATTATTTCATCAGTTAAGCAATTATTTGCCTTATTAAAATTTTATGTATTTTTGTTAAAAAAAACTGATAAACCGAATTATTGTTTGTTATTATTATCTTCTTAGCAGAAATCTTCCAAAGTTCCAATTTACTAAATGCTTGCACAAATTTTTAATAGTCGGCATATTTGGAGAGGAAAGCAGAGTAACAGATTTTTGCTTTTATAAAATTATACTAAAGGAATTTCATTTTTCCAAAATAAATATCTGAAAATAAATACAGTAATCAGATGTATGATTTAAAATTTTAATGTAGAACTAATCATATGAACTAAAATCGCATTGCATACTTATATCATTTTCTAGTGTGGCCTTTTTTTATTTTTTTAAGTTTATTTCTATATATAAATCTTTTTTTTTTCTCTCAAAAATACTAAAATTTTTAGAGTTTAAGAAAAAATTGTGTGAAATTAACTTAAATATTGATTGCTAATTTCATAATTTATTCTAGGCGCAGTAATGACTGGGCCATAGGCATTGCAGGGGCCTAATTTTTGAAGGGACGAAATTAAATTAAACTGAGGCAATGCTTTCTAAATTTCGCACATAAGAAGAAAAAAAAATTCTTAAATGTTCCAAATATATGAAAAATATTAATTATTTTTTATTTTTTTCTTTGTTTTAATTGTGTAGTAGAAATTTAAATTGATGATAATTCACAATGATTTTTTATTTGTTTGATATATTGAGAGGGACTTGCAGAAATTTCTAAATATTGAAAGGGGCATCTATCCATTACCAATGAGGCCTATTTTATTAGGGGATTTTCAATTTTATTTTTTAAAGCATTTAAACTAAAGTTAACTTTGTTTAACAATGTTTCAGTTTTTATGTTCAAGTCTTACTTAACCATAGATTTTGTGATAGCAAAAAAAAGGAAAAAAGAAAAAGATTCTTTTAGTTATTTGTTAATCAATCTTCTTTCTATTCAAGTAATATTTCAGTAAACATAAGTCTAAGAATCTTTTAGTTTTTGAGTATTTTTAATGTTTTGCTTTATCTACCTAATGCGTAGAGATATTTCATCTTTTTCATCTAAAGCAACAAAATTTAGGCCACATTTTATAAACATTTAGTACTAGTGTACGATATATTTATTGCGAAAATTTTACTTTGCCATTAATAAGTAATGTGTACCTATTCTCTCCTCTTAAATTTTTTCAACACACATTTAAGTTTAAGCTCCTCTTAAGCACATTATCATTAAATTTTTTTTTCACTTTTACTTTTCAATTTCTAAAAGCAATAATTCATAAGATAAAGAAAACTTATTCAATTTCTTTATTTCATGCTTGTTTGATATGTTGTGGTCATTGCATCACAAATAAATTATATTTTTATAATATTTAATAAACATTAATTAAACTTAAAAGGATTAAGTCTATTATCAATCATAAAATTTGGTTGCAAAAATTTTTTAGTATAAAGTTTTATTTATTTAAAAGAGAAAAAGAAAGTTATTCAAAATGTATTATTTGTGTTTACATAATAACTGTTTCTTATTTAAAGTTCAATTTTATTTAATTATGTAGGGTGGTACTGTGATAGGAAGTGCAAGGTGTCAAGACTTCAGAGAAAGGCCTGGACGCTTGACAGCAGCATTAAATCTCATTCAAAATGGAATTACAAATCTTGTAGTGATTGGAGGTGATGGTAGCTTAACTGGTGCAAATTTGTTTAGACAAGAATGGTCTTCTCTTTTAGATGAACTGTTATCACAAGGTATTATTTAAAAGAAAAGATGTCTTTCTAACTATCTTAATTGTAACATTTACTCATCATAAATATAATTCTGTGTTTTCTTTTCATTTACTTTAAAAGTTTTTTTTTTTCAGGATTTAAATTTAGGAACTAACTTTTATGCTTAAAAATTTGCACTGCTAGACCTTTTTTTGAAAAAAAAAACTAAAAAATGCTAAAGATATTTTAAAATTTGATTGCTGTCCTCAATGGAAAAAAAAAGCCAAAAATTAATATTTTATGTATTACTTTTATTATAAAATAAGAGTCCTGTAGCAATTTTGTGAAAAACCCATTTGTGCTTCAAAGATCTGTTGAGATTTTAACTTTTAAATAAATGGAAGTTGATACCTAATACTGCAAAACTTTAATGGGAAGCAATACTTAATAGTCACCAAAAGTAAATTTTTATTGCTGTACTAGATTTAAAAACTTCTATTAGAGCTGTAAGTAAAACACTAAGGATGAAAGAAAAAATAAAATAATTGTAATTCATTACTAATAAGAATGCATACATATATTATTTGTGTTATTTGTAGATTTAGAACAATTTCAGAAAATACTACTAGTAAGATTTAGAAATTTTAGATTTTTTTTAAAATTGTATCCTTAAAAATGTAAATAAGATTAAATAAGCAATTTAGTATCAGACATATTTGTAAAAGGTCCCTTTTGAATGAATTGAAAGAATTTATTTTAGGATGAGTTTATTTTTTAAATAGACTAGATCGTATTGAGTCTGTTTTAGATTAAAAATTTAAAATAAAATGTTTTATGAAGGGTTTCTTAACAGACCCAAATTTTATCTAAAGAAATGCTGCATTTTCTGCAAATTGTTATCATGTATGAAAATATTTTATATGAAATATAAAGTAAAATACTATTTTTCTGTATAAATAGGAAGAATAACTGCTGAGCAAAAAGAACAGTGTCATTCTTTAAATATTGTTGGTATGGTTGGATCAATTGATAACGATTTTTGTGGCACAGACATGACTATTGGTACTGATTCTGCTTTACATCGTATTATTGAAGCAATTGATGCAATTGTTACTACTGCCTCCAGGTAAATTGAATAACTTATTTATTGGAAAGAGTATTGTCTTTTTTAATTAATAACATCATTCTTATATTTTCTTAATTATATTTATTTTACCATAAATTTCAGTCATCAAAGAACATTTATATTGGAAGTTATGGGTCGTCATTGTGGGTAAGTAAATTAATTTATTATTTTGTGTGTAATATAGTTTCCAACTGCATTATTCTCAAAATCAAATTTTAATTTTTCTATAGCATAGGATTAATTTCATTTGAATACTTCTGCAAACTAAATTATCCTTTTTTTATTTTTGTGAATAATATGCTGTGATGAGCCAGTATTGCAAATTTGTATTTTTTTCCCCTCCATATTCATTGAATATTAACATAAATTTCCTAAACAAGGTATTGCATTATAGAAAGATAGCAGGCACTTTTTGTTCTGTTTGGTCTAAAAAGAATTTATCATTTTCTGTGGACAACAAATAGAAATCATCTTTATAGTTATTTCATTCACATCATAGTAGAAGGTTGGAAGAAAAAACATTTTAAAACGAAATATTGTCATTTATATATTTAACAGATATATATTTAACAGGTATATATTTATTATGTAAATGGTCTTGATAATTAAACTTAATTGTGGTAATTATTATTGAAAATAAGATCAATTTGTATAGTTTATTAACAAAAATTATTAAAATACGAAATATTATGTTATTTATAAATTTTTTTTTGACCAAAGTTAGCAATAATTACTTTGAGTAATCTAGATCCTAACGCACTTCAATTCTAAATTAATTATTTAATCTTATTATTTATTGCTTCATAGATCTGTAGTATCTGGTTTTATCATTAAAACTTCTTTAAAATACTTAAACACTAATTTTAACAAGCATGAGTATGCATAATCAGTTAAAATTATATGAGTATATATCCATTTATTTTATCCCTCTGGAGTCTGTAAAATCATCTTCCTAAACTTCCATGCCACTTCTGATATGTTTTTCATAATCCACAGAATGCTTCATTGGTTTGAAATTGAGGTGAAAAATTTATTTAATAGCATTTTTTCTCCACACCCTTCTCATGGCTGCCAACTGTTCTGAATTTTTTGGATTTGTTCCTAATTTTTTAATCAAATCTGAAAATCTGATATTTTTATAAAAAATCAGAATTTTCATAAAATTGCAGTATATTTGCTTTTAAACCAATCCCTTATTCTGATTGCCACAACTGCGCTTTCCGTGTTTATTGTGCTGAAGTAATTTTTAGTAGCTTTTTATTAGAAAATACTATTCCAATAGCTGTTGCTGATCATTTCACTAAGATGAATCTTTAAAAACTATTATTATTTTTTTAAAAATCTATTGTAGTATTTTATCACTTGCATCAGAAATATTTGTTTATGATGTAGATTATTATTTACCTGTGTTTTATAATTTGGAGATAAATAATTATATATTAATAGGTAATGTTTGTTTTTAATCTATTATACCGGTATTCCTAATTATAAAACATTAATATTATAAGTTTCCCACAAAAGATAGTGTTTATAGTTTTGNTTTTACTAATTTACATACGGTATTTAAATATATGTCTATTAATGTTATTATTTAATAGTTAAATTTTGGTCACATATAGTGTTCCTTTTTTTTGATTCCTAAGGTTGGCAGCTATGCCTTCTTTTTTTTAAACCAAAATTCTTTAGAATATGTTCTTAAAGCACCAAAAGAAAAAGAAAAACTAAAATATAAAAATATGAACTGTACGTACAGTGTCTTTACAGATACTCATTGATTTCTATATATTCAGTTAGTGAAATTTAGCAAATAATAATGATTAAAAAGAGAAATCTGCTTTTTTTCTAGTGTTTGTAATTGTTTATCCATTTGCAATTGGTTTTCTATTTGCAGTAAAAGCTAAACTTTGAAAATTAACTGTTAAATTTCTTTTTGAATATTATTATAATTTTTTTTTCAATATTTTCTGGTAGAGTTTGTCTTTCTAGTATTCATCAGTTTAGCATAGTTAAGAGAAAATTGTTTAACTATCATTAAGCTTCATGACATATTAATATTTTTAGTTATCTTGCTCTTGTTGGAGCGCTTGCCAGTGAAGCTGATTTTGTTTTCATTCCTGAATGGCCTCCGGAAGCAAACTGGCCTGAAGTATTGTGTGAAAAATTAAAAATGGTGCGCATTAAAGTTTACTTCTTTAAATGTCATCTAAATTAATTCTTTGTCTTTTAGTTTAGTATGCATGTACATAGTCCTCATTACTTTTTTTTTATTTTGAACTTTGTAATTAATAATGGGTTATAATTTAAAAGTTTAATTTATTTTATGTTGCATGTGTGTTTAATTATTTAATCAGCCTTAAGCTATTTGATGTATAATATTTTTTATAGGAAAGAGAAGCTGGTCAGAGGTTGAATATTATACTTGTGGCTGAAGGTGCTATGGATAGAGAAGGTAAAGCTATCACTGCTGATGGAGTGAAAAAAGTAAGTTTATTTTTCAAGATATTAAGCCCTCCCTCTTTCCACAAAATTTATGTTTATTATGTTAGCATAATTTTATAACTTGGGAGTAAACATTTCATATCTTACATGATTATTAAATTTTTAAACAAAATTTAAAAATTTCTGATAATTATTTTTTTATCTCTTAGAAAGAGATTTATCGTTTGTTGAGTAAATTTTCTCACATGAGTCCTGTAATTGATGTTGGATGTAATTTGATCTTCTAGAAAATTAAAATATTTTATACATTTTACTACTATACGTATGAACATACATATATATACACGCACATATACATGCTTGCAAACTCTTCTGATTTCCCCGAAAGATTTTATTTTTACATTTCATGTGGTGGCATATATAACATATATATAATAGGCATGACAGCTCTCTGATAGTGTGTTTAATTGTTGGCTAAATTATTACTAAACACCTACATACAATCTCAATTTCATTGACTTTCTGGAAAACACTTTTTTGAAAAGCTTAAATTTTGGCAGGTATGTATTTTTATACATATCAGTTGATTTCAGATTGTTATTATGTTTGAAGTATTTTCAAGACTATTTGTAAAGATAATGGAAAGTAAATTTTTTATGTCATATTTAATGATCTTACTCCATCAAAGAAATGCGTGCTTGACTTTTTTTTGTACTCTAAAAATTTTAACATCATTATTATTATTTTTGTAATTTTCTATAATAATCTTTTTTACCTGGCTGCTGCATTATTTAAAATTAATACAGTGTATTTTAAGGTTAATATACAATGCCTTATTATCTTATAGTTATATAGTTTAGTTATTTGCCATGATATGTAATTTGTATGTTTAATTTAACCCATTCAAATATTTTCTAATAATACTTTCTATATAACTTTTATATTTGAATCAAAAATATTTTTGTTAAATGTATTTGCTTTAGATAATAGTTGATAATCTTCAACAAGATACAAGAGTGACAGTATTAGGTCATGTTCAACGAGGAGGAAGCCCCTCTGCGTTTGACAGAGTATTAGTAGGTATTTTTTTCCATCTTTCACTAACAATTAAATGGTTTATAATGTTAAAACAAATATCTCTCTCAAAACAAACTCTTGATAAATANCTTAGGTGGGGCATGGCACAAAAAGGTTGGGAAACACTGGTTTATAATGTTAAAACAAATATCTCTCTCAAAACAAACTCTTGAGAAATATAATGCGTATAATAACTGTGAACTATTTCATTAAAATTGTATAGCATATTTAATGAAAAAATATATAGTTTTTATAGCTGTTTATGTATGTGTATACTTTTTGATATGTTTATGTATTAGTATCTTTTTGAACTGTTTATGTATGTGTACACATTTTGATCATAATATAAATTTTTATTTTAAAATTATATAATCCTTGGCATAATAAGAAATTTTTAGTATACCTTAATCTTATAATTTGTTTTATCATGCATATTTTTTATCAATAAGTCTGATTAATTGAATTATTTATGTGTAAATTTGCTATAATTAATCATGAACGCCACTCTTCAGTTATGAGGATAGAATTTCGTTTCCCTATTAGTATCTATTTCCAATTTGTTTTTTAAATAATTTTTTTTTAAAGAAATCTAATATTCCACTTTTTTTTAAAAAAAGATCAAATATTATCTGTTTAGAAAGTTCAGAAAAATAAATATTGTTTTTAGAAAAATAATCAAGTTTAATACAAGATGTAGCCTTTTAGCATAGAAAGGTACATTTTACAGTAAGTGAGCTTTAATTTTCTGTAAATTCTAGAAAACAACACTTGACAGCATTAATTGATAACTTTTAATTTAAAAAAAGCTCTATCTTGAACTTTTTTTGGAAGGGCACTCAAGATAAATTAAAATAAGCATTTCATGTGCCATATCAAGAAATAGTTTTCATATTGCGATTTTTTTTAAAATTTAGTAATTATACTTTGTGTGTGGTTTCAGCACAGCACTATTTATAAAGTATTTATTGCAATAATTTTATTTAAAAGAAATAGAGATATATGATAATTATAAATCTTGAAGGATTTTTATTATTCGCAGTGCTGTATTATTCATAAAGCTTTTATTCATAATGCTTATATTACAAATTTGTAATTAAGTGTAAAATTTAACATTTCTACTATTTTAGTTTTTACTATTTAAATAAGCTGTACATTTTTTATTTTTTAGAATTCTCTATTTGGTGCACATTATCTGAATTTTTCAAAGTAACAAACAACTCTAATGACTGGTTTTATGATATCAGTATTTAATAAAATTTTAACAAATCGTCTTGTTTTGATTATACATTAAAAATATATTAAAATTGAGACGTTTAGGATTTCCTGGTTACTTACTGATGAGTAAACAATTAGGTATATGTTTAGAAAGGGCTTAGATAATTTTAAATAAATCAATTAAAAAACCCATTTACGTTAACATTACTTTATACATATAATTTTATTTTTAAATATAGGGAAAAAGGGGAAAAACGAGGGGAAAAAGCTAGTACATTATTAGCATGTAAATTAGCTTGTGTTATGGCTTTTTTTTCCTGAGTATCTATGATTTCCCAACTTTTACAAATTGAACACCTACATTTTGCAAATTGAATCTGTAGCAATCGAAGTCAACCATAGTGTATTAATTTATTTTTTTTCTACACATAGCACATATTTTTTATGAAAGAGTTTAATAGGAATTGTTTATTAATTAATTAGTAATGTATTATGAATATATAAAAATGACCAATATTTTGTTAACGAAATAGAAGTTATTAACTAATAAAACAAATTATTCTAACTACAGTTTTATTGTAGGGAAAATTGGAAATAAAGTTTTTAAAATTATCCTACAAACTAGAATAATATATTTTATACAAGTCTTTTTAACTTTTCATTGGTCATATTCATTTTTATAAACCAATTTATAAAATATTTATCTGCAGTTTGAAGTATATTAACCAATAATAGAGAAATAAAATAAAAACTGAAGGGATGATTTTAAATACAAACCTGTATTACTGTGAAATTTAACCAGTGTTTTTATTTGAAATGATTTTCTACAAAAATATCAGTGTTATCTGGATAAACGCAACAGATAACTGGGAAAATGACAATTTTAAAGCAATAGATAGTATAGTATTTTATTTTTGATTGTTTGTAATAAATTAGTGTTTAATTTATCAGCAAAAAAATAGATATTAGTTAAAGGGAATGTTAATGTTGTAGGGTTCTAGAATGGGTGCTGAAGCTGTGCTTGCCCTCTTAGAAGCTACACCTGGATCTGAAGCTGTAGTTGTCTCCTTGGATGGAAATCAGTCAGTGCGAGTTCCCTTAATGGAATGTGTGTTAAAAGTAAGCAATTAAATGTTTGCGATGCAATAACAAAATATTTTTTCTATAAAGGAAAAAAAAAATCGTATCTGGCTTAAGCTTTTCTTTTATATCTCTTTCCTAAACCAACCAAGTCACCATACAGAAATAAATAACGATTCACAGTTAAAAGTGTATCTAAGAATAGGACTCTAAATTCCTGATTGTCTGTTGGTTTGAGGTTTTGTTGGTGTTGAACAGCCAACCCGATTCCGAGTTTTTAATTATCAATTTTCAACTCCATAGCCTTGTTGTTTTGAATCTAATCCAGAAGACAAAGGCTTTTCTAATAACAAACTAGCCTTTGTGGAAGACTTTTTGATGTAATGAAACCACATTTGCATTACATGGAGAGGAAAACCTCATATCGATAGGAAAAGGATTCTAATCCATGATCTGTTCATCGCTGAAGCACTGAGATCAGTGTAAACCAGGTACATAATTTGCATCAATCAGCCATCGTTGAGATTTGAACCCCCATGACCTAATTGGGTTCAAATCAATCACCACAGCTAGGTCAGTTTAATTTTATATTTTATAACCGTCATTGAACTGCCGACCTAATTTTATGGGTTTGCGACTACTATTGTTCAACTCCGTAGCCTTGTAACTCTGAACCCAATCCAGAAGACAAGGTAACTCCTGGATCGAGTATTGGGAGAAATTGGCCTTCCATTTAATTTCGAATTTTTGATGGAGCTAACACGCATTTGCGTTACATGGAGAGGAAGACCACGAGAACCTCCCACTGTTAGCCTGACACTGCAAGGGGACTCTAACCCATGATCCGTCTACCACTAAGGATATTTCACGTCAACACTGTGGTTGGTGCAAGCGGGATGCGGAATTCGTATTGACTGGGATTCGAACCCGCTTCGCCGCATCGGAAGACGAAAGCTTTATCCCCTGAGCCATCACAGCTCAAGCTCAGTTTAAAAAAAGCAGACTCACTACCATTATCCGCAAATCTCTGTAGTTTGGATAAACTAGTTACTGTCAATCAAATGATGGCATATGTTGATTTGATTTTTTGTAACTATTTGATTTTTGTGTAGTGTAAGTGAGTTGAAGTGTGATTTACAGGCTTTTGATAGATTGCCAACTTCTGCCTTAAGGGAAATAAAGTAGGGGGGAAAAAAGCTAGGTTTTAAATTGGCAACCAAACAATGAAGAATTTTTTATACATAATTTATGTTTTGATTCATATGTGCTGTTCTTTTCCTTTCCAGAGAAATTTTATTAATTCTTCGCTTTTTGCCTTACATTGAAATTTTACTTTCGAAAGCATTTTTTTTTTAAATGTTAATGTGAGTTAAAAGAATCTAGCAGTACTATGTTTTATAACATCATATTTAATTCTTTTTTTGTTTCATATATTTTAAATTATTATTATATAAATTAATAATTGTTTTTTTTGACCAGTAACTAAATTTTTTCAATTTCTGCCCCTAAAGAAGAGTCAATTTGTTGTGTCCGATAACAATCAGATTCTATAGTTAAGATTTCTTCTTATACCCTAATCAGTAAAATTCTTTAATGTATTTTAATTTCTTCCTTTTAGACAAAATCTGTTGCAGAAGCTATGGCTAACAAAAAATGGGAAGAAGCATGTAATTTGAGAGGAAGGTTATGTATTGTGTTTTATTATTAACATTTTCCTGTTTATTTGCTTAAATTATTATGAGTTTTAAAAATAAAATACATAAGTGATATTTCTTTACAATATTACAGGAGTTTCACTAGTAACTTGATTTGTTACAAAATGTTAACTAGAGTCAAACCTCCTGAAGGTACCTTAGATGCTACAGGCCAAGCAACAGTAGGTATCAAAACTTTTATATTTCTAGTTTAGTAATCTTTATCAATAATACTTTTAGTATTAAATCTTTTATGTATTATAATCTTACACTGTCTTCATAAAACTATTATATTTAATTTTTAGAAAAAAAAATTGTGTTAAATGTTACACTAGTGTTTAAAGTTAATCTTATTTAGTAAATGCAAAAATGTGTAAAATTATACATAACTATTGAAATTAATATATATATTATTGAAAAAGAAAAATTATTCAATCATTCCAATCAAATAAACAGATATGATGTTTTGTAAATCTTATTTCATTTTAGCATACTTTATTTCTATATACATAAAGTTGTTCCAAATTAGAAATTTGCAACTAATTGTTTTTTTAAAATTTATTACTTTATAATACTTCAAATTTTGATATGTTGAATAATATGTAGTTTTATAGTGTTAAGAAAATATAAGGCAACAGCAGGTTGAAAAATTCCTAAATATGAGAAGTTTCCATACATGATCATACTATGCATTGTCTAATTTCCGTTTTATCTTCTTAATGATGTAATTTATTTCATGTTATTCCTGTCAAACTTAAATTTTTATAAAGTTTATTAATTTTTTGTTTGTATTGTATGAGTGTAGAGTCATTTATTCACATACAAGACACATACGTTTATTTATATTATTATTTCTAATTTCTATTATAATTTCTATTATTAAAATTTATATTATTATTTCTTACTATTATTATTTATTTATGGATGTATAACTATGTCTTTCTTACTCAAAATCATTGCATTTCTATTAAAAATTTAGACCATTTATTTTTTAAAAGAAACAACAGTCTGTATTTCCAGTTAGACAGCTTATTATTTATTTAATCTGTTTAAAAAAGAAAATAATCTTTTTCAAATTTCTTAAATGTCCATCAATTACTCTTAGTTATTATAAAATCATTGTCATTTGAATCAATCTTCATTGCACCAAAAAAAAAGTTTTAAAAGTTACTATAAATTGAAAAATTTAATCTTTTACAAATACTTTTAACATCTTACCAAATTTCCAAATTCCATCTTACCAAACGTTCAAACTTATATCTTTCTTAACTTTAAAGTAAACTTGAAACACATCTCAATTATTTTATTGTGCTCTTTAAATTATTGATTTTATAAATATTTTTATTTTACATAACTTACAGCATAAAATATTAAAAATTGTAAGGGTTCTGATGAATTATTTTCTTTTTTTAATGCTAACGAGAGAAGGATTTAAGGGTATGTAACTAAAAAAGTGATGATCACTGTTTATTAATGTTATGATTTAATTGTAGAAATACATTACTATATAAAGTTTTGAAAAGTGATTCAAATTTTATTTACTTTTAATTTATTAATTAACATTTTAGTTTTTGAAATCATAAAATCTGATAAATTAGAATACTTATCTAATTTTCTATGATTTTCATTTGTTTGGATAATGAAATGTTTTAATCATAACTAAACAAACAACTTATATATCTTGCTATTGTATATTTCTAATAAAAAATATATAATTTACGAATATTCAATAAAACAAATAAATTTGTAGAACGTTTAAACTTACCTTCCACATTTTGATGCACAATAAATAAAATAAATTAAATGGTTAATGTTGGTTTTAAAAACACAGAATTTTTTTTTGACACCGTATTTAAGATATTGGTAAATAAAACATTGAAGCAATAGTTAATTCTACCCACGAAAGCCTTAAGAGACTATCGTTTATTGTTATTCCATTATTTTAGCTTTTTTTATTTAGATATCAACTTTTTTTAAAATCGTTAAAAATATTGATTTTAATCTTAACATTTGAGAAAAAGTTTTATTCTAGCTTTCGTTTGTGGAATTAGGATTTCTCTAAGGAAAGCACACGTTTACTAATGTATATATTTTTGTAAATTGAGGAATAGATTATTTAAAACCTAGGTTCATCAAATGAATATTAAAAATAAGTATAAAAGCTCTTTATTATCTGATTTTTCGCAATTAAAAATTTATACTCTTAAAATTTTATATAATAACAGGGGTCATTCCAGACTTTTTTGGAATTAAGAAAAATCTATTCATAATTTTGTAAATTTGCGAAACTGATTCTATAGAGGAAAAAATAACTCAGTTTGCTTTAAAATTATGAATTAAAGATATCATTAATCCCATTTTACAAACGAAAAGTTTTGTGGATGGTTCGTTTTTAAAATACAATATTTTGTGAAGGGTCCGCTAAACGACTTTGATTTTTCCTAAAATGTCTCATGAATAATGAATTTTTAATAAAAGATATAAACTTCAAAATAGATTTTTCAATTACAAATAGTTGAGTATATAAGGTTGTCTTAAACATAAGTATGTAAGTTTACTCATAAGTAATTTTCATTGAAAACACAGGTTATTAATAAATATAGTCTATAGATAGCAGTATATTATAGTGTAAAAATTTAGAGTGCTCCATAAAATATATAATATAGGGCGGGCTTTGTTAGGAACAGTATAGTTGAGATGAAGTTTTTCTGTAACTTGCACCCTCTGTAAAAATTTTCAATGACTGTTTTGCATAAATGAGACTGAATTATGTTGATACAACGCTTAATTTTATTCTTCAAAGCCTGGATGATCGTGGGTCTTTTGGCAGAAAAGTCAAACAGCACTAAATTACATGGTCTTGGTGGTGATTCCTATCACCAAAACGGGACATTATGTCATGAAGAAACGCCACAGCAATAAAAACATTTCATTCTTTGTTGTAGTGAATTTTTAATGAACCTGAACTGTTTTTCTTGTTGGATGCCTTCTAGTTCTCTATAACTTCTCACTTTTCTTGAATCTTACGCTCATAAACTGTTGTTGGTTGAATAAATTGTTGCAATTTGTTATTATACCTGTAAAACAGAGTAAAAACATAAAGATCTTTATGACTTTAATAATTTTAGTATTAACTTATAGGGTAAATATACATTTGCTGTGATGCATGTTGGAGCACCATGCTGTGGAATGAATGCTGTAGTGCGCTCTTTTGTTCGATGCATCATGTTTAAAGGTGATACAGTTCTTGGAATTCATGATGGCTTTGATGGTCTCATTGAAGGAAATGTGAGTTTCTCATTTGTTCTAAAGTTTATTCTTTTAAAAATAAGCAATTTATGTTCGTTTAAAAAATATAGTTAACTTATGATTGCATAGATGCATAGAATTATTGCTCTTAGTTTATTAAAATTAATTTGAAGTGATTCTTAGTATTTCTTATGAGTAATTTAAATGTGTGTATCCATATAAATAAGGCCTATTATTTAGTAATCTGTAATAGGAATAAGCAATAGGAATAATATTAATTAAGTAATAGGAATGGTAAACATTGTTCTGTTTATTACTCCCCTTAATACTAGGAAAAGTCTTCCCCAAAAAGAGTGAATGGTAGCATCATGTTTGTGCTATTTGAGCACAGTGGCAAATCAGTCAATGAATTTTATTTTTGTGATCTTCGAAATTTATTTTTATTTTGAAATTGAAATTTTAGTTTGAAATTTATTTTTTATTTTAGGTTCAGAAAATGCATTGGTCGGATGTAGCTGGTTGGGTTGGACAAGGAGGTGCATTTTTAGGAACAAAGAGGTAGTTAAATCTGATTTTTAAGTTTTTACTTCCAATTTTTTTTTTTTATAAAAAAATAAAATCTAAATTTTTTTCTTTTATTTCTTGTATTTTAACAGAACATTACCTGCCACTATCATAGATAAAGTTGTTGCACAATTTAAGAAATACAACATTCAAGCCTTATTAGTTGCTGGGGGTTTTGAAGTAGGTATTATAAAAAGTTAAATTGCATATGGCATATTTCTTATCTCTAAACATTTTAGAATTATTCTTTTAATTTTTAAAAAAAAATATTTTTAGGCTTATCATGCGGTTCTCCAACTAGCTGAGCATCGATCAAAATATCCTGAACTATGTATTCCAATGATAGTAATTCCTGCTACTATTAGTAATAATGTGCCTGGTACAGATTTCTCACTTGGTTCTGATACAGCCCTTAATGAAATTACTGAGGTATGATGTTAAAATTGCCTTTCTTTTTTAAATTATATTTAATTGTTCTCATGTTTAATTCATAAGACAGTTTAAATTGTCTTATTAATTTAACCTTAATTAATACTTTAAACCTTCAATTATCACATAAAATGATCTTCACCTATTTTATATATGGTAAATATTTAGAAGTTAGTTAACCATTAAATTATGTTTATTTTCTTATGCTATGGATTACATTATATTTTTAAGCAAAAACCCATTTTAACTTTTTTTTTTAACAAAATTAGCACAAATAATACATTTTTAGTGGTATTTTTCTTTGGTACATAAACATCAAAAATCTGTTACTGAATGGTAATTAGTAAACTAGTAGAAAAATAATCTTTAAATTGAAGTAATCTGTTACTGAATATCAAAAATTTTATGACGTCCAGTTTTATAATTTTTTTATACTTTATTTTAGAAAAATAATTAAAAAAAATTTAAACTGAACCAGGCAGAAAGTATCTGCTTCATTTCAAACACCAATAATCATTTATTAGCTAAATGTAAGCCCTTAAATTTTATTGTGAAAGTGTGTTCTTTATTTATTTATTATTATTATTTATTTATTTCCAATGGCTTATTAAAAGACAATTGAAAATCAGAAAGATAAAAATAAATCTTTAAGTGAAAGTGAGCAGGGCAGCTAAACAAGTCAGACAAGGTCATCTCTTTGTGGAGATCATACAAGGAACAAAAAGTATCTGGAACCACGTTGATGCAACACAGGTGTTTATTCAGGCAATCGTGTCCAGATATCAGAGAAAAAATGGCAACAAATTTCATCCTAATCCTCTAAGGGAAATTAAGAATTTGTTTAAGCCATGGTTTATTGGAATTGGTATTTTTGAATACTTCGCTGAAGGAGTCCCTGAAGATGTTCTTTGTTAGACTTTTACAGGAAGTCTGGAATTAGATCTCTGGAGGACAGAAGCCCCTTTTTTTGCTAGGAAACTGGTTGTGTCTTTTCCCTGGATACCGCTGTTGTCTTATTATTACTGGCTAACCAGTTGAGATTTAAACAATTTTCGATGGTTAAAGTACTAAAGTGGCTAGGTTTATTAATTGATTGAAGTGCAGCCTTTGAATCAGATAATATAACTTTTGAAAAGGAGTCTGGATGTGACCAAAGTTGTGACTGGGCCTGGTAAATGACCGCAATCTCACCATCGAAAGCTGATCTGTAAGTGCGGATGAGAGTATAAATGCAAAAAAGTTCACAGTAAACACCAGCTCCAGTGTTAATGCAACCACTCACTTTTGAACCATAATATAAATTCTTAACCATTCCTCCTCATGATAAAAGGATTCCATTGTTTTGAGAGCTCTGAAAACTGCATCACTAGGTTCTGCCTTTGAGACATTCATGATTCAAGGTGAATAGAAAATCCTTTATCAACAATAGGGTTGATAGGAAGAAAAAAGTGTTCAGCCTGAAAATTTAAATTCAACTTGGATATAAAAGCAGCAACTCCTTAGAAAAATACAGTTTGTGTTTTCAGATATCTTTCGAAAAAGACTATAAGTATAGACTATATATTCCACTTAGTCCTTTTTTGTAAGCTTGACATGGTCTACATTAAAATTTAAAAGCCTATAAAAGTACTTTCTGTGAACGATTGCAAAAATTGTGTATTTTTCACCAATTCCAAACAAATTATAATTTTCAAGGTTTTGCTTGGGAAGATGATGTGAATGAGTTTTATACATTTTTAGTGTTTTTATAAAGGTTAGTTTAGTCGTGTGTAATAATTTGAATTAACTTGTCCTTTAGATCTGTGACCGAATTCGACAAAGTGCTCAGGGAACAAAAAGACGTGTATTTGTGGTTGAAACAATGGGTGGTTACTGTGGATACTTAGCAACTTTAGCAGGTTTAGCTGGTGGAGCAGATGCAGCTTATATTTTTGAAGAGCACTTTTCAATTAAGGATTTAATTGGTGATGTTTACCACATGCAAGCTAAAATGAATGAGGGCATTAGTAGAGGTTTGATTTTGAGGTAAGGTTAAATTATCAATTATTATTTTAGCATCTATTTGTTTATGAAATATTATCTTTTCTAATTATTCTGATAAATGCATGTTTTCTTGAATATTTGAATGCTTTTTATCTAAGTATTGATTAGGTAACTCGTCCATAGCAATGTAAAATAAATTATTCACACGGTGAATACGGAGCAAGAATGCTTACCTGTATAATCTTTTCATTTTAAAATTAACTGAGACGACTAAAGAATTCCCGAATTGAATATGAGCTTAATTTATTTTGTGAAGGTTTTTTTTTTAACTTTATTTATTTATGTTATGTGGGAAGAAAAACTTTCAACAGTCAGTCTAACTGCAGACTCTTCACTCACCCAGAGCTATAGAAACTGTTGAGGAAATTCTATGTCAAATGTGGTTGATTTTGACCAGTAGCAACTGTCAAAACAACTTAAAATTTGGTCAGTAACAAGAGTTCTATCCCCTGAGCTTTCATGGCTCATTGTATGCTCATTTTGTTTTTTCTTATAAATTAGGTGTTTAGCTCTTAATGCTCAACTTTATAATTTTGTTATTTTGAACTAGTTTCCGAAGAAAAGGTAATTGTCGAATAAACAGTTAGAATAAATTTCTTTTAATCAGAATTTTTTAGTGCAACTTACTGTTAATTGCAATATATGGCGAGGGAAACCACAAACCTCTCACAATTAACCTGACCATAATTAGACAAATATCCATCTACTGGAGGTATGCCAGTGTTGTAGTTTGGATGAATGGGCCAGGAAGAGTATGCAAGTGGAATAATTATCTTATGCCATCAAGAATATTTTTTTATAAATATTTTTATCACTTTGTCATATGTTATTTCATCAACATTTTAAAGTAATTACAAATTTATGAGTACATTAAACTAAAGCAGTCAAAGTTGGATTTAGTTTATTACGCTTTGCATATGACGAAATTAAATTGTTAAATTATAAAAATGATATAACTAACTACTTTTTTCCCTTATCAAATGGATAAAATGCTATAACTACATGAGTTTTTAATAATGGCAATATTTAATTACTTTATTTATTTTTAAGTTCAAAAGAATTAAAATTAAAGTGTACTAAATCATAATGCAGCGATTATAAAATTATTTTTTCATTCATGTATTTTATTTGAATATTTAAGACAATAATATAGAATGGAATTTTATATACCTTCTTTTAGAAAGGAATTATTTCCGATCATTTCTTACAATCTGTTATCGCTAAACTTGCTTTTTTTTTAACCACATATAAAAGATTTCTCTCAATGAAATAAGTTGTCTGCAAAAACTATTATAGTATTGAATTTTAAAATTCTGTTTTAATTTTTTTTAATGGAAAGCACTGTTTTGTTCTTTTGTAATCATAATATTTTTTTAAATTTCCTTAGCAATTGCAATTCATTTTTAAAGTTTTTAGATAAATTTATCTTGTAATTTTTGTTTCAGATATTTTAATTATTTGATAAGATAACCTTAATTATTATAATTTGTTATTCAATCTCTAGGAATGAAATGGCTAATAAAAATTATACTACAGATTTCATTTTTCGCCTATATTCTGAGGAAGGTAAAGATATTTTCAGTACAAGGATGAATATTTTAGGGCACATGCAACAGGTTAGCACAGTAAACCTTTTTATTGTTTCTTTTGGCTCAGTTTTAATCTATTACTTTTTTATGTTGTCAAATTGCTCTGTATAAAATTTACCAAGAATATCTTTTCAGTTTTTTATGCTACTTATCTAATAGAAATAAATAAATTACTATATTGTCAATTACTATTTTGGATATAGTCTAACTTTGAACAGTGATGACAATAACTATCAATATGGACTTTTAAACTTTCTTTAATGGACTTTTTCAAAATACCACAAATTAATTCTTTCTTTAATGCATTTTTACTGTCACTCGGAAAAATCTTTCAAAACAAGACAAATCCTCTGCCTATTTAACAAATTTCAACTTTTTATTTGCATTTGATTAGTAAGAATGTGCATTTTAACTATTTCTGAATTCAGTGGAAGAATCAGATTTTTACTATCATGTAGCATTTTTCTGATATATAGGGGTGGTATATACCACCCCTATGAACTGGCAACTTCAACTCATATGAGTTGAAGTTGCCAGTTCCATGCCTGCCAACTGTTCCGGATTTTCCGGAAGATTTTATTTTCATATTTAAAGTGGTAGCAATACTCATGTTATTCCAATTAACTTTTTGATTTATAATGTTAATTATAAATGAGTTTGACCACCACTACATGTAAATAATTACAATAAATATATGAAAGTATAATAATTCTTGCTCAAGTGAATTTCAACAGGATCAAAATATAAATATATTTTTGAGTCAGATTGTTTTTCGTTTATTGTTTTACAACCACTCTGAAAATCCATTCTCGGCAAGACTAAAAGTTGGCAGGTATGCAGTTCACATCGCATCATCAGAGTTGCAAAAACAGTGGTAAAAAGGAAATTTATCGTGGAAATCTGAACTCTCAATCTCCATGACCTCTCTGGCCAACAACAGGCCTTTATTGGAGTGTTTTTTTTTATTTATTTAATTTTATTTATTTATTTATTTTTGCAATTTAGTACCCACAGTTACATTGTAGACAAATATTAATAATATTATAGGTACAACCAGATTAATGTCCTGCATCTTATTTCAAACAAACATATTTAAAAAAAAAAAAAATCTCATTTTAATCATTTTTAATAGTTATGTATCTTCTAAACAACTAGGGTGGAAGTCCATCACCATTTGATCGCAACTTTGGAACTAAACTTGCAGCAAAAGCTGCTGATTGGTTAGTTAAGGAAGTTCATGCACATACAAAGGGTGATAAAGTATATTGTGATACTCCAGATACTGCTGTACTATTAGGTTTGTTAAAAAGACAGTATGCCTTTTCTCCAGTTCAAAACTTGAAGCAAGATACTGATTTCAAGTAAGAATGATCACAGTCAATTTCCAAAATTAATTTTAATGCTAAATGTTTGTTATAATGTTAAAATACATTAGTTTTTGTTTAAAATTTGGATTTTTTGAAATTATGAAGTAGCTGTCCTTTAAGAAATTTCATTTTAAGTAGATACATAGTTTTATTGAAAAAATTATTTACTTATTTGTGATTATATTTTGGTAATATTTTTCTATTGCAGCTACCAAAACCATTTTTTGCATTCTAAAATAAGTTTAGAAAATGAAAGAACTTATTTCATTTTAAATATTTTCTTCATAAAATTTTTCGAAAGTTACTTCTTTTAATGTATTCAAAAATTAGGCAGAATTTAATTAGCAAAAGTTCAAAGACTAAGAAAGACTTTTGTACAAAACTGAAATTTTTATTCTATTCAAAATATTTTCAATATAAATTTTTCTTTTGTGAATTATTGGTAGGATTGGACCCATATACAATATATCTAATTCTGTCTAATCTAACTTGATACACTCTAAAAGACTTTTTTATTCAAATAAAAACTGAAAGCAAACATCACTTGAACTTAAATGCAGAATTTATTTGATTTATATTTCATTAGTCAGTGGGAAGTAGATTAAACCTTTAATCCCAGAATACAACCATTTTGGCTGGCCATTTTAGAAATTTTTTATTTATAGGTATGCTTTTTTTTCTCATCAAGCTAACAATAATAATGTTTACTTCATCTAACATAGTAAATAACATTCAAAATGCTGTTTTTTGAAATATAATAAAAGATACAAATTGTTTTAGAATTGCTTGCCAAAGTTATCACGAGGTGGAAACCACTTAGCTTATACATGTTGCACATATGGTTTTTAGTTTTATTATTTTTTATATTTATGCTTTTGTTTTAATAGGTATGATATACTGCGATGCTTTTTCTATATGTATGTTAGTTTAAAACTATTTATTTCCATTTGTTTTCAAATAGTAAGGCATGATAATGTTTCTTTGTAATTTTCTATTATCTTTATTTGTCTGTTTGATTGTTTTTTTAAAAATAGTCATATAAATAATATTTAATGCATGCAATTACATTTTGCTTTTAGAAAAGTCGTTGCTTTTTGTTTCTTAAATGGAACTAATGCTTTTTGTATATTTGTGAAGTCTGGTGTAATAATGCTGGAATGGCAATTGCTTTAATAAATGAATTTCATTTCAGGAATCGTATACCCCAACATCAATGGTGGCTTCACCTCCGAGCTTTGTTACGGGCTCTAGGAACCCCTGTTAGTTACCTGGTCAAATCAGGAATTACCCCATCCCTAGCGGATGTTGAAAAACCGCTAGAAGAACATGTTGATGATGTTTCTGCTATTTAATCATATTTTTTTAAATATACTTCCTACCTAAATCAAATGAGAGCATTTTTTTTAAAAACGAAATTGTAGAAATGTGTGCAAATCGTAATGTTCTCAAATAAAAGCCTGAAATATTTATGTCAAAAATAAGAAAATATAAATGTCTTCAGCTATTGCAAAATTTTGTTTTTCAGTGCAACCAAAAATTTAAATAAAAAAAAAAGAACTTAATTCTTTCAGTCACAAAAGAAATTTGTGTTCATTTTTTTTCCTAACAATTGTTTTCTTTATTTTAGCATTTATTTCAATAGGCAACTTTGTTTTCATTTTTACTTAAATTTTTCTCTATTCTAAAAACTACAAATTATTTCCAAAAACATCCAGATTTACATGGAATCACAAATAGATATGGCATTCCCTGTCAATAATTTAAAAACCGCATTACAAATATAATTTTTTTTTATAGATTCTTAATATTAGTGTACAGAGACACGTGTGCACTCCTAGCAATAGTCACAAATTGGTAATTTCTTCTATTAATTTACTAGCTAATCCTCTCTCAAGACTTATTCACCATATTTTTTTTAAAATCCTGATCAGGGGACATAGATAGCACTGAAGCTGGAGCCCTCTGTATAAACTTCCAACTAATGAGAGGGCTTTCAATTGTGAAAATCACCTTATAGTTTGGTTGCAGTGATGAAAAAGTTTAAAGCAGCTACTGTTTATATATTTTTTATTTTGCCATAAGTATGATGTGCTTTTTTTGAGAGTATTATTGTATACGTTTTGTTTGAAAAATACCAAACAAAACAAAATTGTTTTTGTTTAATGGTGTTGTATCCTATGCCTGCCATAGTCATAAAAACACTTATCCCCTCATTTTAAAATGAATGTTCACACACACACACTCTGTGTTTTATTATAAAGTGGTTTTGTCTATCAAGTCCTATTTCAGATTTTCTAAACAACCCACTACATGATTTATTTAATCATTTTGTTGTATAAATCAGAAGAATCTCGTGTGATGTTCTAAATGTACCTTTTAATTCATTATAATTTTCTTGTTATGTTTTGAGTAATTCCACTTTGTTTTTATTAGACCTTTGTTTGCTTTCTTTAAATTTTTTTTGTTATTGCTGTTGTCCAAATCGTTTAGTATAAAAATTTATAATTTGGACTGTTGTTTTTAAAGTTTTTACCTGATCTATAATTTTCTAGTTGAAAATTCAAAATGTTTTATGACTGAAGAAAGAATTTATTTAGTTGTTGGGTTTTGTTTTTATTTGGTTATAAAATTTATTAAACTTTAAATTACAATTAGTATTTTTTTAAATTAAGAGTACTCTCATGATAGAGAATCTTATATACATCTGTGATATATTGAATTTGAACAAGTTATTTAGATCCAATTATTTAAATTATGTAGAGGTAAATAAGTTGGGTGAAAGTTATAAGAATAAGTAGCTTAATTGCAATGACCAAAGTTGTGATCTTTAAATACAAATTTATTTCATTATTGGAATAAGTTGACAAACTCAGCACATATGTCACAAAACTGCACATTAATTTTGCACATTAAATGTTTGCGAAATAACTTTTATTATCATCATTTAGGTGTTAAAGGGACTGAAAGTTTGTTTGATCTTCAATCCTATTCCTTATTTCCCATATTTATATAGTTTAATTTATTGATGTTCCTATAAATATTTCATCTTATGAATGATATGTTGTGCCAAATATTAGAAGTATCTTTGTTTATCTAATATAATAATGGCCCATGCAGTATTATCACAAATTTCTTATAACTTTTATTTTGATTGGGAAATATTTCTTTCATGCTGTTATTTATTAAATTTCAAATATATTTTTTGATGCAACTATTAATTATTTTCTGCTTAGATTCTACCTTTTATATCAAGGTATGTATAATTCCTGCTGTTTTAAAAAATATTTTGACCGCAGCAACGTTTTGTGTTCATGTTTATTTGTGAAACATGATAAATTTTCAATTCTAAATTTTATATACTTTGTAAACTAGTAAAGTAATTTATAATAATTAAAAAATTTTGTTTTTAATGTTTTAATAAAAACAAATATTAAAATTGATAGAAAAAAAAAGTTATATTAAAATACATTATTAGTACTTAATTCTATGAAATAAAATAAAAATTTCTTAAATAAGTTGAAATTTTCTACAGTAAAATGTGAAATTCTAAGAGCTTTGCACTCTAAAGCATTATTGTAGTTTGCCTAGAATTTTACTACCACGGAAGCCAGCATTGAAAGTGTATTGAAGTCAGTCTGAAAAGAGGTGGGGGAAAAAATTATATCACAATTTAAAGTATTTGTTAATGAAGACTTGTCAGAATGTCATTTCTGAAATTTTATTACAATGTTAGAATAGTATTTGCTAACTTTATAACAAATTATATAAATTTATAAAGAAAATTACTATCTATTGAACAACTTACCCTAGCGGCAGAATAACTTGGGCCTTCATTGGACCAATATTCATGAATCTTGGCCCAATAAGGGTTCAAAGGGCCATTATTTTCCGATATTGGCCCTATGTAGAATTGTCCTATTTACCCAATATTTCACAGTCTTTTACAACCAATGTAGGCCCTATATAGGCCATTCTAGGACCAACATGTAAAAAATCTAGACATCCCAATATTGGTCTCTCGGTGCATGTTCTTATATGACCCATATTGAACCATTTTTGAGCCCGACTGGGGCCGAAGTAAAATTGTTGCTAGGATCCTGTTGTATATCATATTTGAATATCATTAAATTGTGCCTCGAGTATGATTCAATTATTATCTCTGTTTTCTGAAATTATAAAATAAATAACTGATTTCAGTTGATTTTTTTTTCCATTCTGGGCATTACTTGCAGATACTAAAATGTCTAATATTTAATCAATAAATATTATTTTTTCAGACATCATTTGTCAAGAAAGGAATGGTGGCTACAGTTGAGAACACTAAGCAAAGTTATTAATCATCTTTACCATAATGAAATATAATGTTCTCTTATGAAGAGTATATATATATCCGTATTAAAATTAACATTGTATTTTGACATGTATTATTTTTGATCAAATATTTCTGTTTTAAAGTATTTTATGCTTGTATAATTTGATATTTTACACCTATATTTTATGTTTTTAATGCATATTTCTTTGGAATCTATTTGGTATATTATTTATTACTTACTCAAATTCAAGGTTTAGAAGGAAAAAAATTTATCTGTAGTCTAGTCAAATGTTTTTAGTTTAAAATTTTTTTTATTATCATTTTTTTATTTAAAGTATTTTTGCAAATATTTAAGAATATTCAGTTTTATGGGAATAAAGAGAAGTGTGAATTGATTGCTAGTCATATAAAAGTAGATATGTGCTTTTGGAAAATATATTTCTAACCTTAAAGTATATTTTGAGAAATATTCTTACAGATTGATATACTGCTGTTTACTTCTCCTTGTGAAATAAAGTTTATTTATCACCTCTATATCCAGTGTGCTAATTTCTTTCTTTTAATAAGCAATTGAAGAGCTTTGTAAGAGAAGTTTAAAAGTTATATTTTTAAAGAAAAAACTAAATTTCTTGAATCTAATTTTTCTTAATATATTTCTTATAATTTTAATCTTGCCAAAAATCTCACTTAAATTTTATCGAACTATGCAACATTTACAAGTTTTTCTGAATCTTAAAAATTTCATAGATGTCAATGTATGCAGATACTGATTAACAGTTTTTCGTTGTTTTTAAAGTTGAAGAAGGTTCCAAGTCCATTTGGAAGCAAGCAACTGATGCTACCATTAGATATACTTCTTTTAAGCATAAACTGCCAAGAGATGTAAATGTTAAAACATGAGCAGTTTAAATTAGTGTTAGGACTTGTTAACAAATTCCTAGGTATATTCTTTTCCTCGCTATTGTTAACATATAAACTTTAAAATTAATTTACTCAAATTGATTTAAATATCTTTTTGAACCTTCATTCACTCAGTTCTTCAATTATTTAAAAAAAAAACTCTTTTTTTTTTGGCAATTGATTGTGTAAAACAGTAAGGCTCTACAAATTTTGAAAAGACCAGGGTGCGAAATTTTTACTCACCAGCTAGCCATTGGTTATAGAATATTTATCAGGCTGGCGAGTAAATTTTGTCTTGTAAAGGGTTTAAAATCAAACTACCCTATTTTCAATGGAATTAAGAGTTTCTTTTTACACTGTATAGATCTGGATATCATAATAGATTGAAGATAGACTACTGATGATATGCTTAGAATTTCTATAAATATTGCTCTTTCTCCCTTTAATGGAGTATGATTTTTTGGCTGCTAATGGCATTTTACTGCCGAAAGGAAGCTGTAAATCAGTGTTTTAATTCTTGAATTTTACTATGTCAAAGTAATCATTTATGCTTAATATACTTGTAAATATTTTGTTTTCATAAACATAATCAGAATTGAAAGCTTTTGCCCCATTTTAAAAGATTTTTCCAAGTGATAGTAAAAATGCATTAAAGAAAGAGTTAATTAATTAATTTGTGGTATTTTTGAAAAAGTCCATTGAAGGTTTAAAAGTCCATATTGATAGTTATTGTCCAAAATTAGAGTAAAAACTAAAAAGATAATGCTGGTAAATTTAAAAATAATGCAAAGCAATTTGACAGCTTAAAGGATTAGATTAAAGATGAGCTTTAAGAAACAATAAAAAGGTTTACTGTACTAACCTGTTGCATATGCCCTAAAATATTCTTCCTTGTACTGAAAATATTTTTTCCTTCCTCAGAATATAGGCGAAAAATTAAATCTGTAGTATAATTGCTATTAGCCATTTAATTCCTAGAGATTGAATAACAATTTATAGTAATTAGTATAAGAACTTGAGCATCATTTTGCTTTAATATCAATATGGGAGTTAATTCCCACATATACATCATTATCATGCTTTCAAAGCACACCTTTGTGTTTACATTTTTAATGTTAGGATTCAATTATAGGCACTAATTTACTTAAACTCTACACACTGCTTGACACTCATTAAGGTATCCAGCTTTCTTTAGATCAGTGTTTTTCAAACCTATTTTCTCGAAGGATCAACAAAATATTTCAGTGCTTTATCGCGGACCAGGTAAGTTTGACTATTGGCATATTTTTTCCTTCTTTGAAATTATTCTACTGAAATAATTATTTGACCAGTTTATTTTTGAACATTCACATACTCTTTACAATGAAAAAATATTTTGACCTAAACTTAGTTGAGTATAAATAAAATTTATATAAAATCTAATAGAAATATTAATTATTTCGGTTGAGAAACTATTTTCTAAACCAGAAGTTCTCGAACTTTTTCAACGCGGAGCATTAAATTTTATCTCTCTGCTGTATTCTAATATTTAGTAAACAGAACGTCTAAATAGTTTCGCCATTTAAGCTAACAGGACGTAAGATTTCCCCGTTTTGTTTTAATATTCCACTGCAGGCAAAAGTATGAATGAAAAAAATCATTGAAAATAGGGCGTAATTATAATTAGTTGTATTTTTTTTTTCTTTTTTTTTTGGCACTTTTAAATTTGCTACAAATTTTTACTTGGTTTTGCTAAACACAAATTTAATGGGAATGGTATTCAAATAATGTGTTTAGTATTACCTTTCAATGTGAATTTGTTTTGCTTAATATCGTAATTTGAAACTGGCACATTAAATATGCTGACTTTTATGCAATTAATATTCCATATGAACGTTGATAAACAACACTCCATATTTTTTAATACACACCTAAAATATAAACAATTGTAATATTCAAAAAAAATTTTTTCAATGAAAATTTATTTTAAAAAACATCAGTTGCGAAATGCAGATCTTCAAGGACTATATTAAATTCCCATTTTAGACCTCTCCTTCGGTCTGCTGATGTGTTTCTACTCAACTCTATGATGATATTATTTCTCAATACAAACATTTGTTGTTAGAAAAATGTGTTCCCTTTACAAAAGCCAGCTTGCTCTTCCCTAATGTGTTCATTTATTTCATCTTTCGTAAACCATTGAGATAGCACCTTAGTTCGAAAATTTCAGCACTTTTCTGTTAGGGTATAAAGTTTTTCTTTGTTTTCTTCACAATACTGCGAGTGTCATCTAAAAAGTGAGTTTCCCACGGCCCGTAAAAAGAAACAATACGATAACCTGAAAAAACTTATTACTCAAGATGTAGCAATATTTCAGTATCATAGATATTGTTCACCGGAAATGGAGCCATGTCTTCGTCTGTGGGAAAGTAATGAACGGACAGGATTTTTCTGTGTAAGTGACTGGAGGAAGGATCCGGAATACAGGAGAATGATCAAACTCTACCAGTGAAATTTTTGTAGTAGATCTTTTGAGGAATTCACCTTATGAAGACGAGTGTCCACATGGAGCAGCACACCTCTACTTACACTACTTCATCTTCAATTCATCATGTGTACAGATGCAAATTTATTTCGCTTTAAATGCTTTATTTTTTTTTTGTATTAGCAAAATCTATATTTTTAGTGTATGATCCTTTAATTAAGAAAATTGAGTCATATTGATTCTGCCCCTCACTACATATGAATAGTTTAATTATATTGTATATACAAAAGTCCAACTTAGATCCATTATCTTGTAATGAGTCTTTTAACGTGCATGAAAAATTGAATGAATTTCTGCAATCTTTAGTCTTAATTTCAAATTTTTATCAAATCTTTTTTCCTCATGTGAAGTAGTTGACATTTTATTTTATTCTATAACCGTTGTTGAACAGCTGACCTAATTTTGGGTTTACGACTACCAATGTTCAACTCAGTAGCCTTGTAATTTTGAACTCAATCCAGAAGACCATCGAACGAACTAGGGAAAGAAAAATTACGTCATTTCGACGTCAGGTTTCTACTCCAAAGGATAACCTGTAACCTCGCGCTTTCGAACAGATTTTGCTAACGGGCTGCGATATTCATTTTCCTCCTATCTATCGGATGTCTTACCCCTAACAATTTGCTGGTGAAAGCGACTTGAACGCTCGAATTGGACGAGTGTAGCGCTGGGATTAAGTCAAATTTCCGATTTCAAAGATAATTTTCACTCACAATTTTAATATTTCATATAATAAATAGATTAAATAATCAGTGTATTGCAGTTTAATAATCTTGCACAATTTTAAATAAAACGTAAAAATTTTTTTGTTCCAAATTTTTGTGTATTTTTAGCCGTAATATGTTTGATATAATTATTGCCGTGTTTTTATTGACTTTTATTTTAACTACATTGTAATAGTAGTTTAAAAAAATAGTAGTTAAAAAAAAACTCGTTTTTTAGTAAAATGTTGCAATTTTTTTTTTAAACAATTGGTAACTACTATAAATTGTATAATTATTTTTCATGCGCTGTACAATTTTCTTTTAGAGATTTGAAAGAACGGATGCTTTTACAATATAATAGTTTTTCAAATTTTTATAGAGTACTTGATTACTTTAGATGCTTAATTAAGAAACATAATTTCATTTATTTTCACTTGTCTTCAAATAGGTAGAGTCCCGCAGTGGACTGATCGTTAAAACACGGTTCCCAGCAGATCACCGAAGTGAAGCATCACTCGCTGCGGTCAGTGTGCGGGTAGGTGACCACTTGGATCAGCCTGCGTTGGGACCAAGGGTGAGCGGTATTGGTCCTTGTTAAACTGTTCTACCGTAAAGTGCTCGACTTCATGCGCAAGTCGTCGGGCTACCGAAGCGGGGGTGCCATCCCCTCCGCAGAGGATCAAAATTGTGATGGCATGTCTTGGGATCATCCTCAGGGATGCTTCCCAGACCGTCGCCAATAGCCCATTGTGCAGCTCTAGTGCGACGTAAATGAACTACAACAACAACAACCTTCATGCTAAGTTGCTCAAATGTAAAACCCTCGAACAGAACACTCGATTTTTTTTTTATTTCTGTTCGAATTGTTTTTCACGGAGGTGTCTTAATTCATTAAGTATTACTGCATTATAACTTTTCTTGGCAAAGAAAAATTCTTAAATTGTGTGGTAAGGATGCATAATTAAGGAACCTTTTTATTAACCTACCGGCCTGTGCAGGGGCAGGTAACTGCACTTGCATCAGGAAGGTTTTGGGTTCGAATCTCGGGCAAGGCATGGATGCTCTTTCCTTCTCTGTACTATCTGTCCTCACTGTGGGAGCGACGTTGGCCCACCTAATATGGTGCCCCTGAAAGAGAGGCGAACAAAATCGCTCTGTATATGCCTGAATTGACGGGTATTAACACAGGTGGGCCTTGGAAAAGATAAAAAATATTTTTATCGTCTTTGAAATCGCATATGCGATTTTCTGCAATGCAGTAAGAATGCTCTTTTAGGAAAGTGATGAGCTTATCATCGCTAGTAGCGACATCTACTGGTCAAAAACTGTTCCAAGATCCTGGAGGCACGATTCCAAACCGTAATGTTCCCAATCCTTAAGACGGGGAATATGCAACTTTTTCCCTCTTTCTCGGGAATACGTGATTCTAAGCAATGACGTCAGAATAAAATTGTGCGTGCGCAACATGCCATGTACTGTCTTGTGACGCTGTGCTGTGGCGGGAATCTGCAAAGCTTTACAACCATTATTATTTGTTATTTTCCGTTGAAACTGGAGAACGCGAAACTGTGAATTAATAATGCAGTGAAGTAAGTAATTTATCATTTTCATTAAACTTTTGTTTGTGATTACAACTAATAAATTTCTAATATATTTTCTGTTTTAATTAATTGTTTTGCTTTGACTGTTTATCTAATACCCCATATATATCGCTATAGTGTGTGTGCCATTAGTTTTTCCCTGCATTCATTGCTTAAATGTTACACGTGTCTGTAATGCAGTATTCAAAGGTTTGAATAATGCTGTGCTGTTACGTTTTTCTGTTATGTCCCCAAAACGTAAAGTTTTAAATTGCAATATGTAAATTTTTAGATAGCTTAATTTTGTTGTGCACATCCATGTGCAAATTGTTAAATTTAAGTTTATATGCTTTAGAAAAGAGATAAAACTACTAACAGGAAGAGAAGTTACTGTAGATATAGCACTAATGTAGGCTACATGAATAATTATATATATTAAAATTTAAATTGCTCTTATAAATTTTGTTCACGTCATTAATTTTGATATATATGGGAGTTTTGTTATAAAAACAAAAAAATTACTTCAGCA